CAGACTTTTGGATTGAGCTGTCTACCACAGTGCTTAGCAGATTAGCATTCCGTAAATTCTTATGAGAACAGAAAAAACAAAACAATGAAGACAGGGTGGAAGAGGGATGAAGGGAGCCAAGAAGGAAATAAACTAACATGGATTTAAGTCACTTTTCAATAAAGTCTCCTTAAAGTTTTAAAAATCTTATTAACTATTAATTATTAAATTCATGTCTAACTCAGTGATTGTTAATTAGCTGCGAACAAGTGGGAAAATTGTAGGAGAATATAGTGGCTTCTCAGACCCCCTTATCAAATGAAGTAATTGTTCAACACACATTTTCATAATGAGGGTTCTCCTAGGAGCTAAGATAGCCTAAATAGAGATCAGAGCTTTGAGTCCTATGAAATAATATAAAGGGAACAGGATGAAAGAAAAACACACACAACTAATTAAAACAAGATAAATATGTTAAAAAGCATTCAACTGTGAATACACGTTCTGTACGAATCAGTGTCCACTGCAGTTCTTATAATTTGTTCGCAAGTGGATGGCTTATGTTCCTCCTATGCTCTGCTGTTGATACTAATTAGCACAGGTTTGAGGTGCCGAGGGAAAGAAACCAAAACATAAATAAAAACAGTTCAGCAGATGGTAAGGAAAGATGAATGCAAGGCAAGAGATTCATAAGTTCAGAATTAGAAATATTTTAAAGGATGCAGAGAAAACATAAAGGTATGTTCTCTTTCACCACAGATGCTTTATAAGAAAATGTTCATAATGTATACCACTCATACCAGAATGTTCCTTCCCACACATCCTTCTCTCCATAGACAGTGAGTTAGGTAATCACATCTTTGTATTCAAGCGAGGGAAGTTTTAAACACATTCTAAATTACTGTATTTGGTGGTATAGTTTGGGCTTTTGGGGATTTAGGGGCAGTGTGGGCTGGAAAATACCCGTTCACTTCTCCAGACTAATTTTCAAAGAATGGAAGGCACTGAGTCAATCAACCTTTCTACTGTGTTTGCATTGTTTTCACAATCTGAAGAGTGTGATAGAATGTTCCTCATCTGCATTTTCCATCAAGGCTAGAAGACAGATTTAATTAAAATTCGAGTATACAATCAGCCATTTCCTACTAAATAAAAACTTGATGCTAGGCTGTAGGTGCTTCATAGACATAAGACTGGTTCCTCCTAGCAAGAATGTATCTGTCTTTGGAGCAATTCCAAACCGTAAACAAATTTGAAATATCAGAACAAAATGAGTACTGAAATACAGTTAAAAGCAATACATCATGAAACAAATAAAGCTAAAAATAATGCTTCATAGTGTCAGGAGGGAAAATAATACTTCTGGATGCAGTAGCATTTAATTTGGCAAGAAGGATGAGTCAGTATCCAACAGCAAAGATGCCTGGAGAGTGTATGCCACCGAGGTAATGTTATGCCACCTTTAACAAGGTCTCTGCTCAAATGTCACCTTCTTGGAGCACACCTTGCTCTCATCTCCTACATTATTATAGTTACCCTGTTAGCAAATCCTCTTAAAGTATTTTGCACACAGTTATCTTTTTTTGATAAAATTATAATAGATATTAACCAATTCTGGTGACTCAGTATCTTTTAGAGTTGGGCAGGTGATGAGATAATCCTAAAACGAAAAGATGATTTAATTGATTAAATTAAATTGAGAGGCCAAGGTGGATTGCTTGAGCCCAGGAGTTCAAGACCCACCTGGGGAAATAGGAAGACCCCCATCTCTACAAAAAAAATTAAAAAATTAGCCAGGTGTGGTGGTGCATGCCTGTAGTCCCAGCTACTTGGGAGGCTGAGCTGGGAGGATTGCTTAAGCCCAGAAGGTTGAGACTGCAGTTAGCCATGTTTATGCCACTGCACTCCAGCCTGCACAATACAGCAAGACCCTGTCTCAAAAAAAACAAAAACAAAAACAAAAACAAAAAACAAAAAAAATTTAAAAAAAAAAAGGAGTTTTATTCATATCCTTTTACTATTTTTCACTAAAACAGCATACATATTTTACTAAAACGGCATACATATTTTACTGATTTGGCAAGATGTTTTCTGTAATTTTTCAACTAACAGTGATAGGTAAATGGAAGTTTTGTAGGACGTTTTAATATTCTGAAGATGACAAACTGACTCGCCTAAATAGGGAAATGGTCTAAGAAAAAATGTGAATAATTCGAAGTTTTAAAAAAATAAATAAATTTAAAAAACAGTGAATATTTACTAAACTAGAAATCTCTGAAAAGCCAGGCAGTCTATTATCTTACCACTAAAGTTACTTTCCTGATTAAATCATTTTTGAAAAAATGCTTTGTAAATATATAACACTTTATGATACTTCACTTAATTATTTCCTAATTATTGAAACATTTCCTAAGTATTGAGACCAGGATTTTGTCATTATAAAAATGCTGCAATGAACATGTTTATTCAAAAATATTTTTCAATATTCAAGTTAATTTTTAAGGATAAAGTGAGTTAGACATTAAGTAGGGTAGTCATATCATTGTATTCCAGAAGAGAATGTAGTTTTAATTTTATTCTAAATTATTTTGTGGTATAGAGATTCGGACTAGTGAGGGAGGAGAGAAATACTACATCAGTGTCTATACAGATGGAATTACATACTCTGCATATTTCGTTTTAGTCATTACACTGTAAGGTTCTTGCCATTGATCCTGGTATAGCATCATATACAGTATATAACTAGATTCTAATATATGTTGAGGTAGTACTAATTTAAGCATTCAAAAACCTATGATGTAACATGTTATAGAAATATAGTAGTGTCACTGAAATGTTACGAGGTATTATTTTGATAAATATAATACAAATATTTAAAATACATTATTTAATGGTACCTTCATTCTATTATTTGACCTTCAACACAGTTAAAATATTTGAAGGGGGATTTAGAGTTAAGCTTAGATATTCCTAAATGGTTACTTTCATATTGGGTCTAAATGGGCTAGGTGGTGTCTGTGACCATATCAAACTGAAGTAAGAACTATACAAAATTTTCAGATTGACCATATCAAATTGAAATAAGAACTATACAAAATTTTCAGAGTTAATAAAAAAGTACTTGATTCTGGGTTTGAAATACTACACATGAAGTAACAGCAGGATTTGCGGCGGTGGTAGATTAGAAGATAGTTTCATTGCTAAACAGGAAAGATAAAACTACAGATAATATAAATGAATAGAGATAGTGTGTACCTGGCTACTTTGAAAGGGATGTGTAATCCGAGAACTAGGAAAAAGTTGAATAAGTGGAGTGATTTTTAAAATGGATAAATAGCAATCATAGTTAACATGTATCAATTACTTGCTATAAACCAAGCACCTTTCTAAGCTCTTTTTATGTATTAGCCCAGTTCTTTCCTCCAGTCATTAAACCAGAATGTCTGCTAGTAGGAACCAGTCATCTGGGGGATTGTATAAAAGTATTGATACTTTTATTGAGTTTTATTTTAAAAGTATCAATACTTTTAAAAGATCCCCCCGATAATTCCAGTTTGCAGCAAAGTCTGGAAACCACTCAACAATGGTGCAGTATTGATATTCTTGTACTTATAAAGTGGAAACTGAGTCACAGAGAAGTAATTTGCCAAGGTCAAACAGCTGACACATGATTCCACGTGTTCTGGGTTTTGAGCCCTTCTTCAACCACTGCAATATCTCCCCAGTGCTTTAGTGACTAGTCCCTGTAAGAAAGCAGCTGGTATTCAAAAGTATGTCTCAGTGAAATAATAGATTGCTATGTCACTCACCTTTAGTGTCATTCCCAACTTTAAATCCCATGAGCACCAAGGGTATGTGATGGAGTAATAGCTCTAGCAAATGATTTTGTTCTCCAAATGAAAAACGAATGACTTCTAACAGAGTCCCATTCTGTGAGCTGAGGACCCCTAGTGGGCATTGTAATAATAACTCTTCTGAAAATAATTTTTCAGATGCATGTATATGCTGTTGTGATTAACAAAATAGTTTCATTTAAAGTACCGCAAAAATTACAAGAACTTTTAGTTACTGAATTTTTTTCAATGAAAAGATTTCCAAAATATCACTAAACAGGAAGAGCCAGATGTCTTGATATTACTCAAAAAAGGCTGTGAACTCCTGCTTCAGACTATCATCTTCAGGGCAGCCATTCTTTTAGACAAGCGGCACCCAGAACAGTTGGACCTACTGAAAATAACAGAATTGTCCTTTAGAACTCAAACAGTAACAGAACTGTATTGATTATGACTAATACACCTATTTTTATTACAATACATTTTAGAAAAAAAGGCATCAGCCTACAAATGAGCATTTGTAACCCTTGACCAAATACCAACTGCCAGTCAGCATAAAGCAGAACTAAATGATACAATGTGCATGTTCTTCATATTGAAACTTTGGCATTCACTGGCTATCTGTAGAAATTGCAAAGCTTATATGTGATGCCAGGACCCACTTCAACAAAATTTTTAATCCACCATTTAAGAAATTCACACACATACACACACCTCAGAAGTAATATCATGGCCTGGCTCATAGTGCATATGCATACATCCTTTTATCCCTCTGAATACAGTGCCATCATCTCTCTTGGACTGCCTGATTTCCAGTCCTAGTCAGCAGACGCAGCAGTCAGGCAAATAACATTTCTTTAATAAAAGATCATGATCTATAACTTTTTTTCTTACCGTTTTTCACCCCGACACTTAAAACTATTTCAGTCGGCACTTAAAGTGTCAGACAGGGAAAGGCAAGAATTTCAGAAAACATTGGGCACAGGATGGCAATATATCCTGATTTAGATTCTTTCTCTCATTATCAAAGGATAATTAGTGAGAAAGACAACAAACGCCTTCCTTGCAGTTGCAATCAGTTAAAACCAGGTAACAAACTTGTACATCAATATGTTTGTAAAGATACATATGCATGAATACATGAAACTCGCAAAAATAATTTAGTATTCAATCTCAGATACACAAATATACTTAAGAAAGAGAAGTTTTATTAGGGCAATTTCACTTTATTTTTCCATACAGCAAAGTCAACTACCGCAGTAATAATAAAATAAGCATAAAACAAATTGCAGCCCAAGACAAAATACATAATTTTAAGCAACTACAAGCAGAAAGTAAGTTGTGATTACATAATAGTAAAACCAAGCACATTTGTCCTTTCAGCAGATGAAAGTGGTAGGGTTGCTGATAAGTGCAACATTATTAACCAGCTGGAGTGAAGGCTGGATACACTAATTCTTTTAACAAGTGCCCATTATCACATTTTGCATTTTTGAGTGCTTCTGAGTTGAAAATTAAAACCGTGAAATTTGAACTGCGTTTTATTTTTCACCTGCTGAAAGAACAGGATCCTACAGCAATTAAAAAACAATCACATAACAACTATAGCTACAGTGTGCTGTTTGGTTTGCCTGTTTATGATTTAAATTTTGTGAAAGTCAATACTCGTTTTGAAGATTTTTTTGTGAACAATAAACCACTGAAATTGGCAGAAACTGATCTGAATAATATATGTTCTTAGTATAGTTCTCTCTTTTTTTGTTGAAGTTTTAAACATGCAGTAGTTTTGAAAAATGTAAGGAATATCTGATCCATGATTTCACCTTAATGGTAGAAGTACCTGCTATTTTTGGTAATGATCTTCAGGCAGATTTGGCCCCATGGAGTTTTTGTCAGTCATGAGGGTTTGAAAGGATGGCGTATCTTTCCAGCTGAAAAAATCCTGGCAAACTACAAGCTGTCCACAAGAAAGCAAAGCAACATGTTTGAAGGGGTATGGAGTGCTAACTCTGTGCCACTTTTGCAAGCAATTTTGCTCAGTCTGTCATTGTATTAGCCTTAACAAAACTCCTTGTAATTATAGACGTTTTTATTCAAAATAAGATCTTACTATTATACAGGTTTCTCTCTTTTGACTATATACAGAAGTGCAAAAAGTCAACCTTCTCTCTAGACGTTCCAACATGCTAAATTGCAGCATAATCAACCCTCAAGAGTTTGCACACACGCTATAATTTTCATTACGTAAACTTTGAGTATTTGGATTATCAACAAAAAGTCCCTTGTTCTTTATTGATTATGCAGCTTATTTATAACAAGGCCTGATATTCAGGGATTTCAAAAATATTAAACAATATTTTAACATTTGAAATGGATACAGTAGAAAATAAATTTTATTCTAATATCTAGGATCTAGATCTTCTTATAATAACTAATTACAAACAAAATAAATCATCAAAATATTACTCAATTGTCTGCCAGGATTGTTGCGATAGCAACAACTTAACTTCTTACTTAGCAATGATTATATATTTATAAGATATCCATATAAAAGATCTTTGTTCTTTTAATGAAAACTAGACAAGAACTAACAATGACTGACATTCTTACACTGTAATATTAAATCAGTAAAATATAAATCATTTAGTTAACAATACGAATATTCATATGACACTACATGTAATTCAAAACTGAGTATGTTATGAAGGAAAAACTACTTTTTTTTGTATTTTGAAAAATTCATCGGTAAAATCTAATAAAACAATAGTCTATAAACTGAAATGGTATTCAATTGTTAATAGAAAATGAAAATCTAATAAATGTAGGAAATGAAAAACTACATTTTAACAAGAAAAATAAGTAATATTCTATAATGTAACTAACTACAATAACATGTGAAGTCACCATTACTTTCTTAACACGATTGAAATTACATTGGTATGGGTTCCAACCCGTAATGTAATAATCTAAGGCTTTAATAGATGTACAGTACAATCAGTAAAATCAACACATCAGTCTTATATTAGAAAGCATCTCTCTCAAGCATAAAAACTTGCAGTAAACTTGGAAGTATGGAAAGTTCTATAACTGAACTTTCACTTCTCCCATTCCATACTATAACTACCAGTGACCTGGCCCCTACTTCAGCAATTTTTAGAACTGCCGAACAGAGCAAAAATATCCTTTACTAGCTGCGACATCCAAACCTCAAAAAAAGGAATTCCTTTGGATGATTCCATTCTTAAAAACTGAATGCACATCTATTTTTTTTTAATTTTGTAAAAGGCTTTCTAAGGCTATAAGCAGTTAATCTGAAAAAAACAAAACAAAACAAAAATCACATATAAAATTCACCCATGTACTTAACCCACCCAATTACTAGGTTAATTAAACATTTCCCATTTTCATATTTTGGTTTATCATGCATCTGATGACAGTGCTGCTTTCTTCTTTGTTTAGAGTCACTATTTTGAATGTGACTGTGATGAAGCATTTAAGCAAACGTGAAACCATTTTTGCAAAGCATTTATAGTCTTTTGACTTTTGACAGAGGCTATAAATAGAAGCAAAATAATTTCCTCAAACATTTTTTGTTATTGTGTCTCAGAAATGGCAATCCCTTTTGAATAACATGTTATACAGTATAGTATGCATAAATATTACACTACAATGCATTAAAATAATTTTACATATATCTATTATATATATCTCCAGTATGTGTGAGTTTATCTGTATTGAGAGAGTTTGTGTTGTGCTGTCTATTGTTACTGTAAAGTTAAACTGGCCATTTCTGAGACAGCTTTGGTTTCAAAAAAAAAAAAAAAAAGAAAAAAAAAAGAATGGTGCCCTTTGACTGATTAGTACTAGCTAATATGCAACAAAATGTGGCTCTGAAAACAATAACACTGAAGAAATAATACTCTAATTTGATGTACAGTCTATGGCACTTCATGAGAATCCTTAACAACATGGTACTTAAAGCCATGATGTGCTTTAAAATATACACAGTTGTGGTTTTGCTTGGCACATTCATCTCTGTCAGATCCCTCCCTCACCACGTCTTACAATCTATTACATTAAAAATATTACTCTTAAACAAAAATGACTGTGCATGCACGCTCTCATCTATAATGGCAATTTTAAATACAAGGTGCACCTTTGTTATTTGTAAACCTTGAAAGAAATAAACTTATTTAAAAAAAATTATATCTTGGTCTACAGACGTACCAATACATAATAGAATCATGGTTACACCATAGTCTGTCTTTTCAAGATGGCATGAATATATAGGAAACTAATTAGGTATGCATCTTTGAATGCATAACTCTGTGCTAGAAAAGAAAGACAATGTTGTTCTTTTAGACAGGAATATCACCTCAGCACAAATATCAATTAAATGTACAAAGTGTATAGGCAACAGTGTGCAGTGGATTTCCATGTTGTCTTTTCTTCTGGTTAACATGCAATATGTGGATGTCTTGTGGCTGAGGAACTTTTGTGTGTGTTGCTTGACGATATATACAATATGGCTAATGACCTCATCCTTTACTCTAACCAAGCACACTGTCCTTTCCTCTTTAGCATGATCTACAAGGGAAAAAGAGAGAATCTTTGTTAGAACAGATAGTATCTAAAAGCAGTTTCTAATATACATTTAATATGAAAATTTTCTTTTTGATTAAGCAGTATATTCACAAGTTATTATATCTTCATATAAAAACAAAAACCATTTCACAAGAGTAGACAGAACAAAATCTGTTTATCATCTCTATACGAAAGAAATAATGTGTACAATTTAATAAGACTGTAGAATGTGCTAAAAAATTTACTAATCCTAAACTAAAAGTATAAAATACATTTGCAGAATCAAGGGGCATAATATACACAGTTCTTTTTTAGCACAATTGTTGTAGGGCAAAATTTAAACTTACTTCTTTTCTGCAGTTTAATAAGGTTTCAAGAGTAAAGGTCTGGTCTACAAAATTAAAATTCATGTCATATGTTCTATTAAACAAGATTTATTCTATTTGGGTGCTTGATTAGCATAATGCAGGTTTAGAAAAAAAAAGAATGATACTTTAAGTGATGGCTTTGGATAATTCAGTTTGTTGAACTTTTTTCTCCTAAAACTAAGAAAATAAAAATCATTCTTTTTGAATTACAGAATTATTACTCATGAATTAAGTTGTAATAGATACTACAATGTACTTGTGGATTAACAGTTCCAGTTTTTACAAGAAATTTGTTCTCAGCAGGGAATCTTTACATATATTAAAAGTATGCTTCACAATACAACCTTGAAAATGAAAGAAATCACAATCTAGTAACTCAAAAATCAGTTTAAATGTTGCAACTCCTCATGAAGATGAGCAACCATTTGTTAAATGAACAGAACATTAAATGCTTAAGCTTCAAAGACAAATCTACTGGTTTGCTAATTATTTTTAGAATTTTTTTTTCAACCTAGATTATTGCTAAGAAATAGAATACAGTTAAATATATACATACCAAACACACCTAATTGACTATAAGAGCTTGAAACAGATTGCTTTGGCATGTCAAACAAACTCTTCTTCTAAACCAACAACACTACAAAGTAATGCTGCTGCTTCTAAAAATGTGGCTATTGTTCAGAATCTGAACCTTTTTATCAGAACTGCTTTGAGAAAACTTATGAAATAGACAAAATCAATTTTAATACTGCAGCAAGTCTTTGGCAGTACTTTTCCGATTGAGCCTATCATTTCTTTCTTAAATGGCTACTGAATTCTGCCTATCCTCCTTTCTTGCATGGGCTTTGACTTTGTCCAGCTTTGCTACAGAGATTAACATCACAAGAGTTTCTGAGTTGGTTCTCAGCCACCATCGTTTCCTGACTTGGCACACTGTCCTTCTTTTACAAGGCCTTTACACCTCCACTGTCCTTAGAACAACACCCTCATTGTCCAAATTCATTTGTTTATGGATCCTGTTGGGAATAGCTGCTCTTCATCTTTGCTCTAAGAGAAATTTCTTCAAACCTCTCTTATTTTAATATATTATCCTGAAATTCCTTACATCTTTATCTTATTGTCTATTTATCTTTATCTCCTTGCCATGGTAACTAACACAATGTAGCACCAAAAACTCATTTGTAAATATGTTAATACACAGATAAAAAAAGGAAGCAACAAAGAATGGTCACCCATCTTAACCAATTTCAGTTTTAAGCATACTGTCTCTTTCTAAATATAAAAATAAGTAATTAACAAGCATCTGAGCACATGTTATAACTTGAATGCACGCGTACTGGACAAAACATATTCCTATGGATGAAAAATGGGCACCTTTGTAATTATTTAAGACAGTGTTCTTAAAGACAAAATACAAGACATTTTAAAGACTAAATACAACACTTTCAAACCATTTTAAAAATGTTGCAATGGCAACATTTTCAGAATTATATGATCCTCTGAGGTAACTACTTTAAAGTACCTAAGATTCATTTGAATATGTAGATTTGTGTGTACACATATATGTGATTATGTGTATATATTTATTTAAAGTGAGACTCACTACTTTTTTTTTTTTTTGAGACAGGTCTTGCTCTGTTGCCCAGGTTGGAGTGCAGTGGCACAACTGTGGCTCATTGTAGCCTCAACCTCCTGGGCCTCAAGTGCTCCTCCCACCTGAGCCTCCTGAGTAGCTGAAACTACAGGAGTGTGCCACCATACGCAGCTGATTGTTTTATATTTTTTGTAGGACAGGGTTTGACCATGTTGCCCAGGCTAGTCTCAAATTCCTGGGCTCGAGCAATCCACCCACCTTAGTCTCCCAAAGTGCTTGGATTACAAGTGTGAGCCACCACGCTTAGCCAAACTCATTATATTCTGATGCCCCTGTGTATGGTGGTGCATGGGATGAAGTGAGTACATGGTCCCATTTAAGGTTTAGCCAAAGAATAAGAAAAAAAAAAATAAGTGATAATCTACACCAGGGGTCAGCCAAAATACTGCCTGTGGGCCAAATGTGATATACTGCCTGTTTCTGTAAATAAAGTTTTACTGGAACACAGCCGCACCCATTTTTTACATGTGGTCTCTGGCTGCTTTCATGATACAATGGCAGAGGAGAGTAGCTGCAACAGAAACCATACGGCCCACACAGCAAAAATACTTACTGTCTGACCCTGTAAGAAAGTTTGCCAACCCTTGATCTATACCTTCTAACTACTTTTTGGTCATATGTTTTATGTTTGTGTTTATTTCTAATCAGAAATTTTAAAAATTTATTTTCTCTTGATACTTTGTATATTTAAGTGATATTAACGTATTTGTTATAAATGTCTGATAAAATTCCTCACAACCCATTTAAGATAAAAATGTGACCTGTATATAAATATTTTCTCAGAGATTTTGCAAAATTTTAAGTGCACTATACGATTGCTATCTTAAAAAAACCCAGCACAAATATGCTACTATATATTACATAATGAACTTACTGTTTAGTGATGAAAATTCTACATCTGGGTAACATACTTGTGGCTAGTCAGATGTTCGGCAGATATTATGGGTATCTAGCAAATAAAAAATTATTTAATGAATGATCCATGCAAGCAAGCCAACAATCAAGAGATGAAAACATTTTAATATTAAATTTTTAAAGAAAAGTGAAATTCAGCTGTGAGGTGATAGTCCTTATCTGGTCAACATAACAGTAAGTTAATGTAAACTTAAATGCCATAGTAGCAACTAACTTTAAAATCTTCATGTTAAATACTATTCTGTAAATGTTATCAGCTTTTAGGAAATAAGATAAGTAAAACTATCAAAAATTCATGCAGAGCAGTATTGAAAGAAGCCCTTTTTGTTGGCCTACACACACACACACACCCCCGCCCCCGTGGTTTCAGTTACTTAGTAATCATTCAGAAATCAGATAAGGAAATGTCTTGCCTATTTTTGTGCAACCAAATTTCTGACATTTTCGTTCAAATTAGGGTGTCTAACTTTTTTTTTCCAAATTAAAAATACCAGGTAAGAATTATAAAGCAGTAATTCAAAGAACTAGGTAAGAGCCTAAGTTTACTTCAGAACATATTTCTGAATCCTGATGGCACCTTTTATTGTATTTTAAATGGGCAAGAGAATTAGAGAACTTGAGAGAAAATACAGTAAGAAACCAATATAGAGTTGACTTATTTCAATAGTTCCCAAAGTTAGAACTTCAAATTTGTAGCTTGATTTTTCAACCCGAAATTAATGGCTGCTAACCTGAGAGAGGCAGCACAATAGATTGAGACTGTCAGAGGACTGAAGACACGGGTTCTACCCCTAGAGATCCATTTACTGGCTGTGTGACCCTGAGCAAAGCAACTCATTACTCTATGCTTACGTTTCTTCTATAAAACGATACTAATCCCATTTCAGCAATGTTGTTGGGAGAATAATAAAATCACATACACAAAGGCATTCTGTTGCTGTTTTTTCAATTTAGACATCTTAGGCTAATTCAACATACTAAAATCCACAGTCTGGCGTGTATATTAATATGTCCCTGTTTTATTTCCAGTTCTCAGCTGACATTTTTACACAATTTTACAGCATTGGCAAATGGCACGAAAATGTGCTCCAAGCATAATGAAGCTTCTCATACCATTTTTCCTGCTGCTGCAGGACAGGATGTTGCACCCAACAGTGTAGAAGCATCAAGGATGGGGCTGTCGAAACATACCAAGGACCTTCAACACCAATCGATGCAGATGAAGGGCCAGCTATAAACTTCTGCATGCATGCAGGCTGCATTTTGTGGCATCAGCTATTTCCAGCATTGCTAATGTACTGTAGGCATATACATATGTATGTATATGTAGATATAATATATGTGTGTATATATATATCCATTCCCTTTTCTTTCTTTTGGTTGTCAAATAGTATGAAGACCCAAGATTATGCATGAAATGGTCACAGCACAATGCAAAAAGTAAAGTGTCCCCTACAACCCAGGTGGCCAAGGGCATGTTGAAATTTGCTCTGCTATAGTTCTGCTTACACCAGCAATTCTACGGTCATACATGGTACACGCATGAGAGTTCTTTATCACTGATTTGCACCACAGATGGATTGTATTGAATCCATCGCGATAGTTCTACCAAAGATTACTTATTAACATGCCACATATGCACCATCTAGCATTCTTGTAAATGAGTCTGATGTGTTCACATAAACCCAGGGCTATTTTGACAAGCTTCTGAAAAATTAATGATTCTTTGCCAAGAAATGTTTAAAGCTTGACTGAAACATTAAATTCATTTTTGTATTCTGATTTTGAAAGTTTTGAATGGTTGTACTAATAGCTGAATGTTCTTCATCAACAGTACGTGATGTATTTTAGAACAAGGGTGGCTACTCCTCACAGTAAGAACAACAAATCGATGTCTTAATTGGTCTTCCCTTTCCAAGGTGGAACATGTTGATTCTCATCTGATACTAATTCTTTTGAGACTCATTTGACTACATTTAACCTTCACCTGTGGATTATCTGAAATGTGGCTTGGCTCTATTTTTTTTCATACACTGTCAACTCTATTGAAGCCCAAATCTATTTTATATAAATGAAACTTGAAATCAACCAGTATTTTCTAGAAAATATTTTTAAGTAGAATCAGAAAATGCCGGGTGAATAAATGTCAATTTTTAAATTTTAAAATATTTTAAATCATCATTTATTTTAAAATAGTTATTGTATATCATAAAATTTAAATTTATGGAACAAATCCCTTTCACTTGAAAGTACCCTGCATAATTGTTACTCTATAAACTTGCATGGAATACAGAATGATTGTCAATTTGCCATACTTAATTTCTTTTCTTTTCATTCATAAATCTCCAACATTTATGCAGGGTAATTATAAAAATAAGAGCATTTAGGATTTTTCTTTCACTGAAAGCATTGAGAATAAAAGCTTAGAAATGCTATACACAAACAATTTGTTTTGAATCTGCTTATTAAATGATTCAGATTATAATGAATTTATAACAAACTTATTTACAAGAGTGGTCATTTGTGGCATATGTAATACATTTAAATATTTTACTTTCTATTAATCATTTAGGCAATAACTAAGAAACTGTATATACCAAATGTTTTAAATAAAAACTTTAAGATGGCCTCTATTTTTGGTTGGTCAAAACACCTGCAAGATTGGTTGAAACCAATGAGAATTGCTTGTGTAAATATCATTTTAGTAGCTTCAGAAATGGAGCTGCGACAACTTTGGAGCACTTATAAATGGCATAAAAGCATTCTGCTGCTCATCATAGAATGTGTAGGCCAACAAGAGGTATCTTTGAAACCCCATGCTTATTAAAGCACCCTCTACAGCCCTCACGTACATACGATTCCCACTGACCTCAATGGGAAATCCACATGCGTAAGGGCTGTTGGATTGAGCCCTATTAGAGTTGTTTTTTAAGAAACAAAGCTGTAAATTAGCAAACCTGGTTGGCTGTGGCTGTTGCAGCGAAGGGAACACTTGTGGCAGATGTTGTTGCTGCGGACACAGTGGCTGGCGTAGCACCGTGCACCATGGGAACTTTCGGAGGGAAAATCATATAAGCGAACATACAGAAGAGTGTAGCAATATGGAAACCATGGCAACATGGAAGAGATAATTGGGCATGGTATTTATCACAGCAATAAGCCATGTGACAGGACATCATCACCAGCGAGTGACATGCAATCACAGCGCAAAGCAGGACAACATTCCAAGGAGAGAAGGGGAGGAGGGATGAAAGAGAAAAAAAAGGGGGAAAAAAGCTTGTTACCATCAAATCAAGAAAATTGACACAAACAGGCTTAATATGCTAAGTCAAAAACAAGAATTTTATATAGTGTTCATAGTCAGACATTCAAAATCTAAGTCAAAATACAAGTATTTACTTCATATATACAGTTATCTGTTTGAATGAAAGTATTTTTTTCTCATTTACTATTATAAAAATATACAGTATATTACTTTCATGAAATAGATTTTTTTTACACACCAGAACTCATAGTCCAATCAAAATCCACCAAAGGTGACTAAAGGAAACTCGTGTGTGTAAAGAAAACGTTTATGTGAGTCCATGTCAATTAAATAGAAAATGGCATTTAATTGACAGGTGTTAGTAAAGGGGAAATGGACTTGCCCAATAGATATAAGTTAAACTTAGCAGTGGATTTTGAGGGGCTGTGAGGTACACCATAGGTTTAAGATAATCAAGAAACAAAGCTGGCACCTACCAACACTTGTAGCGGGTGTCATGCACAATATTGAGCCTGCCCATCATGCATTGCAACAGGAAGGTGGATTTGAAAAGGGAAAAGAATTAAAACATCCCATCACACGTGTAATTAGAAAATTCATTTGAACAAAGAAGAAAAATTGTTATTATGGGAACAGTGGCATGTAACTGTCAGCACAATCAAATCATACAATAGCACAGTGATCAATTAGAACTAGTCTCAAGTGAAGAATAAAAGCCAGTTTAACTGTGTGCTGGTACACTTTGTTTCTCTTAAGTGTTGCCTATCAACAAAAGTATTTTGGAAGTAATTTAAATCCACTTAGTTCTTTTAAAAATAATATTGTAATTTGTTTTGTTTTAATCTGATTACTAACCATCTGGTCGTTTTGCTATTTCTGACTTTAACTTATGAATGCCTTAACATTTTCTTCATATCAAGCACATATTAACTTATTAAAGATATTATTTATTATTAAATACTAAATAATTCAATGTACAAAACTGACTTAACAATATAATGAAACCCAAACATTCATTTTCATTCTTTTTGTTTTATTTTCCTGTTCATTGTAGCAGCAACCACATAAACACGAAAGGGGTTGTGATTATTCATACAGGATTTGTATTTGGAGGGATGCCAAGCAATAAATTTTACATAAAACAGTGAAATTTCTGCATTTCCTTCGTTTGAAATTAAAATGTAGGAAAAGCCTTAAGGGGGAATATAATTTCTTATAAATATCAAATTGGTTTACTTCATGGTATCTAGGAAATCAGAGTGGTTTTCATTGCTGGTTCAGACCTTCAAGACTTCTGGGAGTAGCAAATGTTCTACAAAATTTCACACACAAGAAACTGCTAATTAGACTTCAATAAAAACCTTGAGTGGGAGATAGTGAAGATATATACATCACATATGGGGTGTTAGCACTGATGCTGACAATTGTTCAACCATGATAAGCAAAAATAAATGTTGCATATATAGATAGTCCTTGTTCTCTTTGACATGTAAATATTGAAAATTTAACTTATTTTACCAAGTACAAGGCACTTTCCCATATGCAGAACCACTGTTCTTTCTATGGGATTATTTTAGAATTCTAGGTTTTAAAATATCAAAGGATTTTATATTTCTATCTAAATCTTGGCATATCCTGTTTAAATACTAGCAGCATCTGGGACGAACATTTGTTAGAAAAATATCTGCCAAATGAATCTTGTCAGAGATGGCCCTATAAAATAAAGCTGCCATTGAGAAACTCAACTTAAACACGGATTACTTAACTGGCATCCCTGTAACAGCTGCAATTAGTTTGTCATCACAATTAGACTGTGGGCACAGTGATCAATGATTAAACTCTGTAATGAATCTGGGGACACATCCTATCAAGTGGAAAAATATTATATTGACAAGCATTAAGACCCTTGAAGATCTCTGTCATTTGCTACTACTACTGAGTCAAAGACTTGTGAAAGACAAACAGAAACAAGCTGGTAATAACAAAGAAGTTATAATAATTTGAGACAGTAGAGCAAGCAAAACTTAATACCAGATCTACATCTTATAAAATCATTACTGTCTTAATGGTAGGGTGAGAGAATTGGAAAAGAAATGATGAATGATAAAGAATAATGTGATAAGTAATATTAAAGCCAGTTTAAATATTGTACAGGTTATATGTTTCATTATTTATTATTATGCTGAGACTTGCCTACTGTATTTCACCCCATGCATAATTAAGCCTGCACATGCTGAAAATGAGTTAACCTTATACTATCTCTCTAAAACCCTAAAGCTATTATGATTTGAATTTTAGTTTGAGTTATCTTCCTCATTACCATTATAACCAATGCACACAGTTTTGAGAGGCATTTGCAGCAAATAAACATAAGGCAGCAATGAAAATACTAGTCAGGGTGCAATAACTCACAAATATGAGGACATAATGCTGTAGGACCCACTTACCAAAAACGAAAATCACTTTTGAAATGACCTTGGTTTCCATCTTTACTTTACATGGGTTGATTTACTAATAATAATGCGCAAATGGCCAATTTAAATTTTTCCTCCATTTTCAGCACAAAGCAAAATTTAAGTGAATGTATTTGTCAATTTCCAATTTATCCTACAAAGATATTTGCAGAGCAGAATGGGGTGCCTCTAAGAAATGTGTTATTTTAATTGCATGACTTTTTAAATCAAAAATTTTAATTGATATGTAGTAAAATGTAGGAAAAACTAGGATAATTTACAAATAAGATGTATGCATACTTAAAATTACTCAGCATAGAAGGGAGATAAGTAGAAGGGAAAAAAAGAATTGTAATGAAGATTTAGTTGGAAGTTAGAATTTCGATGTAATAATTCAGTCCTATTTAGGTTGATTATAAAAAGTATTAAGCTGATTAAGATCTTCTAAAAACAGTGTATATCATTTTAAGACTAAAAGTTAACAATCAGTTGTATTATTCTCAAAATTGGTATCCAAACAAGCAGTACCTTCTTTATTTTTATTAATTATAAGTAATTTACTAATATACATAATTATAAATTATTAAATGTATTAATGATACTAAATGTGACAAATCTTTTTGTTTTTTCTTCTTTCTATAAACACAACCCTGCCTACCCCTGCCCTTAGACCTACACCACCACCTAAGAAAGTTTCCTGGCCTTTTGTTGCCTCATTCTTCGTAGAGTTGTAATACAAGCCAAAGTTGAAGTTGTTTAAAGCAAATGTATTTTCAGAACTGTTAACACTCAAAAGCTAACATTGATTGAGGGAGATATGCTAGAGAGGGAGACAAGAGGTGTGATTCTGAAGATGGTAGGTAAGCAAAAATAGTGATTAGGGCAGAGAAAAAAATTCCTCAAGATTGAAGTGGCAGGCAGTGTGCAGCTCCACAGGTAGTTGGGTAGGTAGCCTGTTCTTTCAGAATAGCCTTGCAGACATCAGGCCCTCAAGGGCATGGGAGCCTGGAGGGCATAGACAAGGAAGCCTATATCCAAGGCAAGCACAGAACCTCTGGAGTACCTGTCTTCAAGAGCTCTCGCAAGCATGGACAATGATCATATCAGCAGTGAGCAGCTGTGACTGATGAATGAAGAATGCATAGTGTGTCTGAGAATACTAGACTGCACAGGACCTCCATTTGAGGTAAGGTCAGGAGAGAGAGGGAGCTGGGGGATGTCCTGGATTCCCAGTAATGCCTGTTATGTCTCTCAACCCAGGGAGACAGAGATCAGAGTTCAGAGCTAGACTTAATTTCAATGAAAACAAATGGTATAAAGGAAAGTGGTATTTCTTATACATCCTAATTTCTTGAGTGAAAATTCATACCTATAATATATATAGATCCTAAATTATGTATAATATCTACAAATAATCAATCTGGTCCTGAAAAGGGAAGGTTAAAACAAGTATATATCTAAATTTGAGAAAACAAAACTTTAATACGAATTTAACCTAATACTTATATTTATCTTTAAATGAGGTATTAAGTGTGAAACACAATGGAGTTAGGTGATCAGTAAGGGCTACTTCCACTCTCCCAAATCATTTTTAAGGTCTTCGTGTAATAAGCTCATATATATTGAGAGATTAACCAAGTCAGTCTGACTTGAGTTCAAGTTGTACTTAAATCTAAACCTTACAAAAGCTGTTTAACTTGGGGAAAATCACTGTATCTTACTAGGCTCCAAATTACTCATTGGTAAAATGAAAATATTAATGCCAATCTTTTGGGCGTTGTGAAAAAAAAATGAGATAATATATGCAAAGCACTCAGTGCAGCATGAAACCAGAGCAACCATTCAATAAAATGTAACTCTTTTGAACAAAATGTGTAAAACAATCTGGCCTAAGGCAATACGGAATTGTAGGGCTTGGAACTGAAGGGTACAGTGTGTGTCCTATCTAAAGGATTTACATTTAGTCTTCATGTAAACACTCTTAAACAAAAATATTTCTAGATACTAGATTTTACCCTTGGGCCATGAGTTTGCAATCTTTCACATAAATACTGGTACGCAGTGGCATACATTATGGAATGAATAAATGGAAAGATGGGTGGATAAATGGGGGGATGAATAGATGGATGAAAACAGAAGGACAGAGGAAGGGAGGAAGGAAAAAAGGATAAGAGAGGAAAGGAGAGGGGAGAACAGAATGATAGGAGGATGTATGTATGTATGGCTGAATGATGCTTAGACGGGTAATGTCCATATTAAATCCAATTCTGCTCTTAAAAGTTAAAGCATGCAGTAATTTTTCTTAGTTAGCTGGCTGGCTTGTCACTGAACCCTGATCTTTTGCCAGCAACCTACTCTGTATACGCAGCCACCTGCTCTAAGAATTTAGCTAACCATGCTTCACTGTAATTTGAATAAAATGCATCTACACATCTGAAGTTATCATTGAAGCAACAGACTATAGACATCTAAAATTCTGAGCTGCAAAAAAATAAAAGAACTCCATTTTCTTCCCAGTTCCAATAAAGCCTTCAAAGTGTACCTTCCAAATTATTAAATTGTGATCAGATCAGATTCCTTGATCATCTAATTCTGTATTATTTGTCTGTAGAACAACCAAACTTTGGAAAATGGCATTCCTTTTCTCCCAGGTATTAGACATGAGATTACATGTGAATTTGTGGTTAAGATACATTTCCTTTAGTTCTCAAAGGGTGTTTTTTAAAAACTGAATTAATTGACAAAATTTAAATATTGAGAAATTTCACATATAAACTTACAAACGTCCAGAATATCTGGGAAAAAATCATAAGACCTAGCAACACTGTATGTCAGGGCTACTGTGTTAGGTTGTGCGGGTTTCTTACAACCAACCCTATAAGGCATATACACAATCAACTGTGGTTTACACAGTCTATGATGCAAATGGAGCCACAAAGGGTTTGCAGTGGATAGCAGGTACAACCTGCCAGGCAGACAATTCTCTGAGGCAACAAAAGGCAAAGTATGAACATTGACTATACTCTTTAGACTGAGTCTGTGCTCCCCTGTGCCACCCATACCCCACAGCTCCCAATTTATTTCTTGATTGATTTGTGTTTCCTGCCTGGCCCCTGAGGCTTTTGCATTTACATTCCCTGCATTAGACTTCTTTCCTTTCTGACTGTCTGACAAAGTGGTGGGGCAGAAATAACGATGAGCTATCCATTTTAACCTTTTCAGGTCACAGGGTCAATTTTTGTGCACGCAGGTACATATTATATAATGAAAATATTTTAAAATAATCATGGAGTCACTACCTACTTCTACTTCTGATTATGTGATTAATAAAGGTCAACGTGCTGCTTCAGGCCCTTAAAACTGAGTTGCAAATAAATGTTATTTTATGTTGCTAACGCAATAATTTCACACTATATTGATTACATTTGAGAAATGTGTGTGTGTGTGTGTGTGTATATATATATATTTGTTATTGTTTTGACGGAGTCTCGCTCCTCTGCCCAGGCTGGAGTGCAGTGATGTGATCTCGGCTTGCTGCTCCGCCTCCCTGGTTCAAGCGATTCTCCTGCCTCGGCCTTCCAAGTAGCTGGGATTACAGGCACGCATCACCATGTCTGGCTAATTTTTGGATTTTTAGTAGAGACAGGGTTTTGCCATGTTGGCCAGGCTGGTCTCCAACTCCTGACCTCAAGTGAGCCGCCTGCCTGCCTCCCAAAGTGCTGGGATTACAGGCGTGAGTCACCATGCCTGGCCTATATTTGAGAAATATTGATCAAGACTGGAATATCTCTGATGCAAAATGCATCGTAATAAATGCAAATATATCTAAATTTTTTTCAGCATATTTCAATTAATGCAGATTTTATTTAAATTAGCAACGCTTACCCTAGCACAGAGAGACAAGTTTGATTCTGATTTATGAATGAGTTTATTTTCTCTAATTTGAACTTTACCTAGCATCTTTGGCTCTATCCACAGACAAAAAGCGATTCTAGGGAGACACTAGTGTCACAAGTAAGGGTCATCAAAAACCTATTCTAGGGAGACACTAGTGTCATCAGTAAGGGTCATCATACCATGCAACTGATGGTTATACTTATTTAGAAAAAAAAAACTATAGTCATTTGAGTGTTGTTGAAAAAACTAACATGAAACCTATTTGATAAAATAATTTCAGCTTTCTTTAAATAGCATAGATTTGTTTTTCAGACTTTAATAGAGAAACTATCATATTTTTTAAGACTAGCCAAGTACAGTAGTGAGAAGAGGGGAATGAGTAGAACGAGAAGTTCAATCTGTAACTGACTGTGAACAATCAACTGAGATAACTCACTACCATTGGTCTAGCTGAAACTGTCATTTCTCATGGTAATGTTTTAGCCAATAAAATAAACTGACAAAAATAAGATTTAATTTCTTCAAAGAGATTATGATAGCTACATATAATCCCTTGAAACTTTGCTCATCTGACTACAGAAAAACTGATGGATTATTTGTTGGGGGCAGTGAAAATCTGGGGACACAGCAACTTGCACAAGAGCAAAAAGATTAATTTCTGAAAAACTATACATGTTGAGAAGAAAGTTATAATATTACAAAACATAAGAGAAATGTGAGACTACAGGTCAAAATGATTTAATTTTTGTTCTAATATGAACAAACTGCAATTTGAAAGATACTATTTCATGAGTACAAATATCATTTTATCCATGTGTCTGGGGCACTGGCTATTTCAGCTAGTGGAATATTCTAGTTAACTGTTACCTCATGTTTATTTTACATATGGATGACTGATTTTCAAAGATGTACTACATAAAAAGTTATGGTTAGTATTTAAAAACTCATATAATTTATTCTTTTGTTCATGAATCAAAAACAAATTCACATTCTCTCACAGCATTATGAACCTAATACACTGTAAATACTGCCAATATAGTCTAATATAAAATTGGGAGCTGGATTTTTGACATATATATCTAATCATTAATTTAATTAATAAAATATTTTATTAAGTAAGTCTTTTACCATGGTATTCTCAAAATAAGAGTGAAGCGATAAAGAGGAAAGTGAGATTAGAGTTTCTGGTTAGTAAAATTCCAGATAATAATAAGTTTATATGTATTTTCTGAAATAAATTCAGAGTGAATAAAAAGAGTAAATTTCCAGGTAATTAAATGAGTAGCTAGTCTGTGTTTTAAACTTTGCAATTTGTGTGAATAATTCTAGATTATGTATACATTACCAAATTGAAAATAAGCTGAAACCACAAATGTAGAACTCCATAATAAATTAAACATTGAGGAGCACTTAGGGCTCTTTCAATATTAGCTTAGGAACAGTCAAAATTTTAAACAGTGTACTGATTGATGCCACTAAGATTGATGCCCTTTTTAAGAGCTCTAGAACACATAGTTTTTTTTCATTCTTGACCTTGAAAACGAAAAGGCTGAAAAATAAAAATCAAAACTGAAAGTGTTGTTTTATATAATTTAAATTAACTCTATGGGATAATGAAGGCAAAGGGGTCTTACAGCAAGAAAGTATCATAAAATAGCTTGACAGACATATAACAGTGTGGAGGAAAGAAAAACAAGAGAACTATATTTCATTTCCAAATTACACAAACACATATAAATGTATAAAATACCACTGATCCTTAATCCATATTTCGTTAAGCTAAAATCCTTACTTTTTAAGGAAAACCACATGAGACACCTCAGATAAGTTTCCATCATTGACCACCTTACCTGACACCTCATCTATAATTACAAACAAACTTGGGGTGTGGTTTATCTGCTCTAACAGTAGGACTCTCTGTAGATCATCAGATTCATTTATTAAGAAACCCCACCCCTTACCTGGTGGGAGAAACGCTGTATGCTGTTGTAACTGCATGTTGGCTAGAGCCTGTTGGTATTGGAAAATACCAGTGTTAAAGACTGCGGTGGCACCGTTGGTTTTTTCAAGAGCAGGCCTCTTTGGTAATGGGGGAAGTACAGCTTGAGGAATTCCCTGTTTAGTGAATGAGTATAAAAAACAAATACCAGTAAAAAGAGAAAAAGAAAAAAGAAAAATCAGTCGAAGGCTAAAATTGTTAGGAAGCATGAGCAAGCAAGCAGCGGAGCACTTAACTACCCGAGGGAAAAAATCCAATGAATAAAAAATTAAAGAAAAAAAAAAAAGCAAGATAAAAGCTTTAAAGGAAGCATTATTTTTGTCCAAAACAAAATCTCACTAGTACAAGAGCACATGTTATAATGTGTTAAAGTGCTTTAGGTCCCATAATGCTTCAGGCTTTCTATGAGAAGCCATTGAATTGGGAAAAGAGGAAAAGCCACACTGCGAGCTCCATGAGGATTGACAAGTATAAGCAATGTTAATAGTTAATTGTACAGAGTGACTGAAACAGATAAAATAAAAACTAACCCACTGCTCCTCCCCCCAGATCTACCTAGACATGCAAATGTCCCAGAGCATGCAAGTTTTTTTCCTTAAATACTGAACTATAAATATTAAAATGTAAATAATTCTACCACTAAAGCCATGCTAACCAAACAGGTACATAAATATACAGTCAAAAATACACTCTTTATATCCTCCAACTATTTCTTTAGAAGATTCTACAATGTAGTTAAACTGAATGTGGGCTGCTGGGCTTTCAGAATCTTTTATTGTATGACATCCATCTATGTACTTAGATTATAGTCTTTCTACTAATTTTGTCAGGAAACCACACTCAGTTTTTTCATTGTACTTTATAACTCTATAACAGAAAAAAGGATATATATTTTAAAGTTGATTTAAAAAAAAAAAAACTTGTATCTACAATAAAGCTACATGCCAAGCTAAAAGGTGAAAGGTCATAGTACCAGGTCAAAGGTTGCCTCGAGGGGTCGCTTCAGTGATTTGACAGCCGACTGAGTCTTAATTAGCAGGCAGCGAGCACATGATGGCAATGGGCCAGTGGGGTTCAAGCGCATTAACATAAACAGCAAGCAGAGGTGCATCATGGGGGCAGCAGTGCATTTTTGGGTAGGTGAGAAAAAACAAATAAAAAAACAAATCATCGGAATGCCATATACAACGAATAACAAGACTAAGCATGCACAATAAAGGCACTACTGAGTTGTTATTGGGAGGATAACTCCTCTTTGTAGTTAATTACAAACAAGATACTCTAACAGAAAAAAAAAGAGTGAAAGGAAGAGAGGAGGAGAGAGTCTGCCTTCTGTATTTTTGCTCAAGTATCCATAAACAAACACAGAAAAGATCTCTCTCATGATTAATATCACTGTTATGAAATACTACACAGTAACTTTTAAAATGAGTATTTCATTGATTTAAGTCACATATTTATGTAAAAAATGACAACATTAAAACAGCTAAGCAAAGAACAAAGAATGGGCTCATTAAAATCAGCTACTAGATCACATTAAAATTTACCTTGAGAATATAGTTTAGTAGCTATTCTTAATGATCCAGTTTCTAACTCTTTGAGTACTGCTGTCTCTCTCCTTTCTATATAATGGCATAGTCAAGCTTCTCTAGTGTTACTATTTTGTTTATGCCACAATATTATTTCAGACAATCTAGAGAGTATACTACTCAAAATCCTGTAGCTAATTCTAAGAACAATTTTGTTGAACAATTCTCCTAAATAGTTCCAGATCATGTTATTGTTAAAAGCAAGATATATGTGAAGAAGAGCCTTGATGTGCAAAAGAACACACCAAAGGAAAACAATGGCTGATTAGATGGCACACAGAAATAAGAAGACCGAAAATGGCAATATCGTTAAATTGAAAAGGAGACAGGTGGTTCTTTACAAAGCAGAGATTTCAGAAACCCTACATCCAGAATAAGACAGATTAAGAGTTAGGCCAAGGGTAGGAGCAATCTGAACCATTTGAGGAGTTACCCTCACTTCTGTGAAAGTAACTTCTTTATATATTGTCTGGGATACCTGAACAAACATATCTTCAGCAATTTTATTTTAAAAAAGGTTAATAAATGAATAGCTTGTAGTCAGATAGAGTTGCTCACTTTGCTTTTCTGACTGCTAACAAGGAGAGAGCTGATATCTCTACTCACCATGGCAGCTGCAGTGGCTGCAGCCTGTGCAGCTGCAGCCTGGTTGACCTGGTATTGGGCAGCCTTGATCTTGGCTTGCAAATGTGCAGGGGGATGAAAGTATTTGCACTTTTCCCGAGAGCATCTCCCTTTGATGTAATCCATACACACAGTGACTGTGTTGTCATTGGTGTCAATCATTGTGCTGTCAGCAGGATGAGCAAACCGACAATCATTTTCTCCTCTGTTGCAATTGCCACGTTGGTACTCTCGACATACCTATTGAGGTCATTAAGTACATGAGGTTTAGTCAACATGAACAAGAAGAAGCTTTCTGAAGATTTTAACTTAAAGTGCAAGACTGGTGATAGAAGGCTACAGATGAAAGGGGAAAAATGATTTTCAAACAAGGCAACAAAGTAACTTCAGCATTTCCTAGTTTAGTTACAAATTATAACTCCATTTCAGTATAAATGCCCATAAGAAAATACAGGTATAATATTAATTATGGTAAAAATACAATCTGAAATGGTGTTGATATACTTATGAATTGCAAAGGGAAAATAATAACCTCACAGTAAAGAAACATGGCAAACATCGCTTTAACCAAGTGATCAAAATTAATACCACCAATAATGAGACATAGTGACACTGTGTACCTATTGATACGATACAATGAGAAGGGCACACAATCACAGCAGATGTATTACTGCCTGAATTTAATCAAGATGAAACATCAGACGAAGTGAATGGAAAGATATTTTACTTGATAACCGACTACTACTCTTCCAAAGTGTCAAGGTCATGCAAGACAGACTGAGATACTATCACAAGCTGGAGGATCCTGGAGTCACAGAAAGAATATTGGGAGGACAACTGGTAAAATTTGATTGAAGTCTGTAGATTGGTTGAACAGCAGTATATCAATGTTAATTTTTCTGGTCTTAGGAGAGATTTCACAGTTACGCAAGATATTAATATTTAGGTCAGTGAAGGGTAGACAGAAACTCTTGGGTCCATTTTTGCAACTTTTGTGTAAATATAAAATTATTTCCAAGTGAAAAATATACAAAATCAAATCTGATAGCTTTTTATGAAAATGTTTCCGGGAGTTATTTTTTGATCTTCAGAGATTCACTTGGTAGCTATATAAAGCAGTAAAAAAAGATTGGTTTTGTTATGTCTGTTTGTTTTACATTTGACAATTCTGTTAATTTTGCCACCGAGATCTTAGGGAAAAGGCGAAAACATTATTTCTCATTCATCTGCGCAATTTTGACTCTTACTATTTAAAAGCAGTCTTCATTCGGGATATTTTGACCCTTTTACCACAAGAGGGCCATCTAAAACACAGAATGTCCTTTTAATATTTTCCTGCTCTTCCTTCAAGCTTCAAGAAAACAGTTTTTAACTGTTCAAAAGTATCTTTTCACAAATAGCAAACGCAGATATTAAGCACTTTATCTTGAAGTTAAGCAAGAAAGAGAAACTGTAACCCTGCAATAACTTAGGAAGCAAAGGTTTTCTTGGATTTACATAAATAAAATGATTGTATTTAAATTTGGGTGTTTTCCCCATATTATATTCATATCCTATTACTGAGGAAAGTGCTTCTTAAAGAAAGAGATACTATAATCTGTACCACGCTACATCTTAAAAAAGAGCATTATAAATGATATCTTGCACTACTTGGAAACCTCAAGCTAGCTAAAGTTTCGTGTTCCAAATACATACAATGAGCCAGTGTCATTCATCACCACACTCAAGAGTTATAAAGAACACAAAAACGACTTTAAAAGTTATTCAAGATTCTGGGTTTTTTTTTTTTAGTGTATTTATCTTATTGAACACACCAAAAAATTTATTACCAAGATTTATAACTTAGAAAGCAAAAATGATCAAGCTGTTACCCAGAATAATTATCCTCCTCTCTGGCTGAACATTAGCATCAGCTATGGAGCTTGCTAAAACAGTACCCAGTACCTAATCAAAATTTACTGTATGTGAGGCTCATCACTACACTCAGGAAGAGTATAGTGCCTACCTTAAATAATGATAAAAAGCTTTATGTGTGTGCGTGTGTGTGCGTGTGTGCATGTGTGTGTGTGTGCGTGTGTGTGTGTGTGTGCGTGTGTGTGTATGTGTGTGTGTGTATGCTAAATATACACTACTGCATAAACAACAGGGCTACTTTTCTGTTTAAGCAAATCTATGTCAATGCAGGCATCACCAAACAGGAAACTCGCAGAAGGTCTATAAGTGATCTCTCTCAGCTGCTGTTTGCTCCTCAGTAATTCCTGCTTTCTTGAATATGCTCAAAATGAACTGGCAGCAGGGAACTAACACTCTATTTTTCCTATGTAGTTTATTCTTTCCCACATTAACAATAAAGAAGACCTGAAGTTATTTAGGTTCTGTGTGTATATATTTGCATGTGTGTGCAGGGGGTGGGGTTCTACAGGTTAAGGATTGGTTTATTATAATCTCACATTCTTTACTCTCTTGTGAGACATTTAGAAAGAATTCTACAAATATTTAAGCAGAGTTAATAACTAAGAATTAGCTCAGAATGTGTCATAAAACCAACCTTTTTTGAGGTTAAAAAAACTTAGTCAACTGCTTTTGCATAATATGCATGTTTGACTCTTTCATATTTTTATTTTTTTGCAGTTTATGGTTTTTCCTGATGTAAGAAATGGGACAAAAGAAACATACTGTAATAGCTACTCTCACATTATTCTTGCCTTTGAAAAAATAAAGAAGAGAAAATCTCTTGTGAAAACTTGTACTGGTGAGAGGTACAGGCCAGAGGGACTGGAAATTTACCAACCATTAGATGTGCATCTGAATTGTGGGGTAACTATGGGAACATGAACTTCCCAAAGCTTCTAAAACACATTTTTCCTAATAGACATCATCAATAAAATGGGATCTATCCCTTGGTTGCTCAGTATGGGTTTGATCTGGTTTCTCTGATAAACTCAAGGACACTTTATGCTGATCCACAAAATAAATGTCTTAGACATACTACTACATTAGCAAATTATAATTGACAAATTATATAAATTCAACAAATTTAATCTCATAATTAAAAACAGGATAAGAAATTATGACATTTATCATAGAGAATTTGAAACACAGAATGTAAAATTAAATCTGAAAATTGTAACAACATTGTGGCTCATTTTTCTCTTCTCATCCAGTCTTCTGTATGTATACACACATTTTAAAAAACTGTATAGTATAGCTATTATTTGGTGACCTTTTATGCTCAACGATGCAGCATAAGCATTTTCTCATTTTGCTAAATAATTTCCAGAGTGATCACTTTGGATGGCTGCATCAAATTTCATCAAATAGTGTACAAAATACAGGTAATTCTTTCGGAGGATATCTAGATAATTTCCAGTATTTCCATATTACAAATAATATTCAAATAATTTATCCATGACTATAGGCATTTTTCATTTTTGGCAGATAAATATACAGATTTATCTGTACATGTATATGTACTGGGTCAACATATAAAAATATTTTGTGACTGGGCGTGGTGGCTCAAGCTGGTAATCTCAGTACTTTGGGATGCTAAGGTGGGTGGATCACTTGAGGACAGGAGTTTGAAACCAGCCTGGCCAACATGGTGAAACCCCATCTCCACTAAAAATACAAAAATTAGCTGGGCATGGTGGCAGGCGACTGTAATCCTAGCTACTCAGTAGACTGAGGCAGGAGAATCGCTTGAACCTGAGAGGCGGAGGTTGCAGTGAGCTAAGATCGTGCCACTGCACTCCAGCCTGGGTGACAGAACAAGACTCTGTCTCAAAAGAAAAAAAAAATGTTCGATAAATGGCTTTCAAACTTACATTAAAATAATAAAATCTATTTAGCTACACATGTAATGTGATTCAACATGAGCCTTTTACTCTACAAGTACTAAGGCAAGATTTGCCAATGAAGATATTCAATGAAAACATTTAAGTTCTAAATTCTATTTCCAGAAAAATATCTATGGAATAATTATAAACTTTAAATAACCAAAAGAAAACATAGGAAGATTTCCTAAGAAAATGTAAATTAATTCTAAATAAACCTTCTTTTGTTAACTAAATAGCAGTAATATAGTAGACAGACAATAGGGTTTGTAGTCAGAAATTATGAGTTCCAGTTCCTATCACTTTACTAGCTATGGAATCTTCATAATGAAAACACTATTAACATCTATTTAAAAGGTCATGAATACTGAATAAAATAATGCACAGCTTATAATACATCATACAAATCTGGATAATAAGAATAATCCTGTCATTTGATCTCTAATTTTTTAATACATGAAAAACATATTTCAAAATGGTCAAAATAATAAGTTTTATAAGTAGTATTAAATTCAGCAATGCTCTGCAAGTTAAAGCACTGGGATTCTAAGGAGATTAATGTCAATATTCGAATTTATTCAAAACTGGAGAGTCATTTGCATGTTCTTTAAGGAGATATCCCTTTGAAGTAATATGTTTTGTGCTCACCATATTTGTATAATTAACTCAGTCATCTTGGAGAATAACAATCAAAAGCAGGAATAGAAAGCTAATTATAAGAAGAAAAGGGACTTTGTCCATTTTAACATTTTGAGAAGTCAATTTAATAGTTAATGGCCAATATTAAGAAACATATTCAAAGACATATAGCCACATGTTCACCAATAAGCAGCATGGACTTCACTTTCTATTAAGCTGGAACTAACAAGCTAAATTTTTCTAAGTATTACTTTAAAAAGTAATCCTGGATAATCACTTTGATCAATCACTTTGATCGAAGGGTTCACAACATGATTGATCATGAGTTTATAATTTAATGCAAAGAAATTATCTCTATCTTCATTTTAAAAGGATTAAAATATCCACTTTGTAATCCTCATAATTCTGGTAATTAGGTAAATATAACTGTAGTCAATTTATTGTACAATTAAAATCCCTAGATAAATATCAGATGATGTGATTTCTAGTTTCAGTTGGTGATATGGTTTGCCTGTGCCTAGCCATGTGAAACTGTAAGTCCAATAAACTTCTTTCTTTTTGTAAATTGCCCAGTCTTGGGTATGTCTTTACCAGCAGCACGAAAATGGACTAATACAGTTGGTTATTCAAAAACTGTATATATTTGATCAATTTTTCTCCTTCCAAAAAAAATCAAGAAAAAGACATCTACTTTAACTATCTCATAGTATTTCTGTTAGGATCAAATGGGAGCATTCTTTGAAGTCTAAAAGGCAGACTCCATCATTA